CCATTAATTTGCTTCCTTGCTGTCAATAATTCAATTTGCAGTAATAACTCATCCTTCCACAATTTCAGGTGGCTTTTTGTGACTGAAGAAGACATCAAGAGCCTACCTTGTCTCCAGGTTAGTCTATTTTGTCTGATACAGCTTTCTCCATGCAGTAACATTCATCTCTAATATGTGATGCTTATTCGGTATTAACTTTCTGCATGACTTCTGGAAGAATGAAACATTGATAGCAATTAAGGCTCCACATGGAACTACTCTAGAAGTTCCTGATCCTGATGAAGTAAGTTAGGCGCTGGATGTACTTGAAGGTCCTATATTCTGCTTTTCAATTTTTTGGTTTTGATGCATGAACTAGGATGGGATATTATAATTCCAGGCTGTTGACTACCCACAGAGGAGGTACAGGATAATCCTTAGAAGCACAATGGGTCCTATTGATGTTTACCTTGTCAGGTATCATCACCTTCTGCCATAGAGGAAAATCATATACCTAAGCCCTTTATTATATTTTATTTTTCTGGTTGTTTAATTTGAGTTTCTTTTGGTATTCTTAGCCAATTTGAGGAGAAATTTGAAGAGATGAATGGTATGGAGCCACGTGCAAGCTGCCAACTTGCCTCCAGTTCTGGGTCTAATGAAAATCAAGTTATGGAGATGCTTACTCTTGACAGCCCTGGAAAAGAACTTGATGCTCAGGCATCGCAAACTCAACCAATGTGCTCTGATATCAATGCTTCACAGGAGTTTGCTGGCGGAATAATGAAAATTACTCCCTCAGATGTCGATGTAAGTGGAACTGTGTCATACCAAGTTATTTTCTTATTGTCAAGTTTATACAGTTGAATGTGGACAATGATTGCCTAGAACCTCGGGTTATGAGGAACTAAGAAATTATTCAAAATGATGTTTGGATCTTGGGTGACTGCAAAAGATTCTTCTGCGGCTTTTCCAGTGGGCCTGGGATTAAAATATAGATTTTGTATCTAAGTTATTGATTCCTTTGCACTTGTTCAGTGATGTGAAAGTGCACAACAAAATAAGAAAACATAAAGTGTTTCCCTGATAAATTCATGTTGTGCTTGTTGTAATTCTCATTCAATTCCCACTTAATTCCCACCTCAAGATTTCGTATAACTTGTAATAGATAGAATTAGAATATGCTTTATGTTTGATCTCACCCCTTATTTCTACGGTTCTACCTTATTTATAAGGTGGATTTTCCCCAAAATATTCAAGGTGGAAAGAAAGATGAGATTAAACATACAAAGCATCTTCAAATTCAGATGTCAAGACTAGCATGGAATTTTAGAGAAGGAAATTAATTGGGAATGGAATCAGAAATTAACCAAATGCAATCTAAGTGTGTCTAGAGGTTTCTGTAAACTTAAGTAATGCTGCTTTGCTATAATTCTTGCAAGGCAACAAATGATTACTTCTTGGGATATGTTAATCCTTTTGTGTATAAATCTGTCAATAGGCTTCCCCCTAATACTCAACTAAAGTTTATTGGGGGAAGAAATATAGGGTAGCTAGAATCTTAAAGAACTTTATTATCTGAGACTTAGAGCAATCATGCATAAGATATCCCAATAAGTTGCTCTTCTTCCATCTTTTGCTGGTTAAATGTGTATCTCATACTGTTCTTCTGCCGTTAACCCCGTTTTTTTTTTGTTGTAGAATGATGCAGATTATTGGCTTCTGTCAGAAGCTGATGTTAGCATTACCAACATGTGGAAAACAGACTGTATCCTTCTAAATGTTAATTTTCTTTTATCAGCAATCTCCCGTCTCCTTCTTTATATCCATAGTTGAACTCTCAATCCTTTACTCCCATAGCTGGTATGGAATGGGCAGGGGTGAATGTGCTTTCTGACTTTGGATTAGCTGATGTTAGTAGCCCAAGACCACAAACTCCTCCAAATGCGACTGTTGAAGTGCCTTCAGCTACTCTAAACTCTAGTGCAAGATGATCTCAATTTTGGCCCAGAATTAAATCAACCAGCTTGTGTATCCCTTCAGCAACTTAATTGTGTTCATCAGCTACTGGTCAAAGATGCCCTGTGAAATTGTTTGATTGATGTACCATGGGAAAGCATTTAGATGAAGCTCATGGCCGGGTAAGTTGACAATTATTGCTTTGTGCTCAGTTTTGGGTAATTTTTTGACCCATGGCTGAGTTACCAACTGAATTTTATTAGAATCATCTATGATATTGTCAATCTTCTGAAGGGAATGAGTATAGGTTCTAACCAGAAAACAGATAAAAATAGAATGGCATAAAAAAATATTATTATAAGCAGATCCTTTGCTTATTAAAACGCCCAGTGGTTCCTGTTTGAAGGGCAAAAGAAATCACAAATCAATTTGTTAGCATACATGTTGCAGAATTCAACACCTCAAGATAGCAAGATCTCCCTGGCCTGGGTTGGCCTGATTGTGTGATATTGCCTTTACTGATTACATTTTTGCATTCATCCAATGTACCATGAAGCTGACAGGAGAACTGGGTGCTAATTTTGTGCTTGTGGAGCTAACATTGCTTGCATAAGCTTAATAATAGCTATCCCCAAAAGTATGATATGAAGCTTACTCACTTGATTGCTTTCTGTTATGAAATGATATGATTCACTTCTGGGTTCCAAAGACCGTAAGCGGAGAGCTCTGACAATGTATCTCTAACTCTTTACAATTAAGTCTTATATCCAAAATCCTTTTCTTGTCAGCAAACAAATTGATCTCGAACCATTTCAGATTATTGTTTAATGGTGGGGGAGTTATAATGAATAAAAGATAAGATTTAAGTACTACATATCTCTGAATTGCTCCATGGTGTATTAAGTAAATTTTTTCTACTTCCTGGTGCATTATCGGGGAGATTAGGAGGCTTCTCTGGTTATGCCTACCTACGTACATAGTAAACTTGATAAAAGCTTCCATAATATTGTCTTAAAGAGTTTGGGAATGAAACTCCCATTGTTGCAAACTTTCCTTATCTAGATGTATGAATCTATAGATGTATGTATCTATGGAAGATAAGAAAAGGTCGAGTTGTATATTCCCCTTAAGTTAAAAGTGTGAAACCCATGTGCTTGAATTTTGATTTGATAATATAAAAATTGAAGTCTTGAACCATTTAGAGCCTAGAGTAGTAGAAACAGAAACGTGGGGAATTTTGTTGCCACAAGCTGAGCAGCCAGCACAAGAGAAAGCAACCACAAGTTTGGATTGGGTGCTTTCAATGTGGGTCTATTAAAAAGGAAAAGCAAAGAGGAAATACACGCACATACAAATCTATATGATCCACTCGTCAACATAAACCAGGTATTTGTTAAAGGTGATTCCTGACTGAATAGCCATTTTCATTTTTGAGCTTTTCTCTGTTCTTCCTTTTTTTTTTTTTATTCAGTAGAAATATATATTCACCTCAATTATAATATAATTTCTTTTAAAAAATATACGAAAACACACAAGAAGAAAATAATATACAAAATACACAACTCCGTTTCAAATTTATAATACTTTATAAAAGAAATAATGTACTAGCTATTTATTTTAAAAAAATTTATCTCTCTACATTTTCATATTGAATTATGGTACATTATTTTTTTTTCTACCCACAGAAACAAAAAAAATAAATATATGGCAAGTGAATTTAATTAAAAATAAATTACATAAAACACAATTTATCCTGTGTTTTAAGTTGGAAGTATAGTCAATATCAAAATACATTTTGCAGAGTACATATTTATTATAGTTAGAAACAAATATAGTACTACTAAAGTAATAATCATAAAAATTTTGTATGGAATTAAAACAATTAATCTTGAAATTTAGGGGGGGGGTTTTAAATAATATTTTACATCGACGTAGGTGTATTTCTATAAATTTAATTTTAAAAAATTGGAAAATTTACTAGAG